GGTTGCGTGTGGGTCACATGCAAGCCGCACCTGGGTTCCAGGTGCATTTCCAACATAGATGTGAGAATAGCGAGACGCAGAAATACTCGAGTGGCTAGTTTACGTTTTGTATCCAATACGTTTCGCATCTGCCAATTTGCATGTTAAATATCGGTATGATTGATAGCTATGAACAGGCATACTAATAAGCGATACTTCAGAATTAAAACGGATGTGAAACACGAATCTACTTCGTTTTATGCAGTTATAACGGCGATATAAATCATATATCGTACGCAGGGTTTTCAACCATTCCAACAAAGTCAATGGACGCCGCCATACCAAATGAGGTTCCGGTTATGGTGGAGGAAATGCCGTTTACAGAAGAAGAAATCTGCAGCACCTACAAGGTGCTTGAGGTGCTGAGCAAGCGCAAGGAGCTTCTTGAGCAGCACAACATGCGCGAAATGCGTAAAAAGCTGGCACCTGTATCTGAATACATGGAATGCCGCAAGTTTGGTGGAGTTGGCCGCAAAAAATATTTAGAAGACAAAGCGATTCGCGAAGAGAAGCGTGCACGTTACAACCAACGAAAGATGCACGACCGTCACCACATCAATAGTTCGACGCTGCGTAGAGAGCGCATCGCTAAGCTTGATTCGCTCTTGCAGCAGGGTAAAGACGATACTAAGGCTTTACCGATGATTGCAGATGGCGTGGCCGGTGAAGATGTGTGCCAATCCACTAATTTATTAAGTGATGGTCATAACTCGGAATTACAAAAGCTTTGTACGAACGATGCACAGAATGCTTGTAACGCCAAAGCGGCAGCTGATAAAGATGAAATGAGTGCTCTGCTGGGATTCCGTTCATGCTACACATGCAAAACTCATTTCGATAAGATTCACCACTTTTATGATCAGCTTTGCCCGCGTTGTGCGGAGCTCAACTTTTCCAAACGCTTTCAGACTGCGAATCTGCGAGGCAAGATAGCTCTTGTCACGGGTGCTCGTGTAAAGATTGGATTTCAGGTTGCTATTAAATTGCTGCTTGCAGGAGCTGCTGTCATTGTTACAACCCGTTTTCCAAAAGATGCAACGGAGCGATTTGTAAAGCACCCGGAATACGAGACATTCAAGGATCGTCTTCAAATTTTTGGCATTGACTTTCGTGATTTAGTGCATCTAGAGCAATTCTGCGATTTTGTCATAAGTCGTTATCCACGTCTGGATATTATTGTGCACAACGCGTGTCAGACCGTCCGTCGTCCGCCAACATACTATAAGCCGCTTGTGGAGAAGGAAACAAGGACGCTGGAGGCAAGCACCAAGGAGATACAGTTGTTGATGAACCATCAGCGAGAGTTCGAGATGCACATCACATCACTCGCTCTTCCTGTGACGTCAGACGCTAAAAACTCAATCACTACAGGCAATACCATTGTCATGTCATCTGCACTGAAGTCCCAAGTGCCCATGATCGCTGGCGAAGACTCATCTGATGATAATGTTGGAGCCTTTCCTGATGGTATGGTGGATGTGAATGGGCAGCAGGTCGACCTTCGCTCGCACAACTCTTGGCTGTTGCGCATAGGCGAAATTGCCACTCCAGAAGTAGCCGAGGTGTTTGCGATCAACACGTTAGCGCCTTTCATCATGAACAATCGTTTGGTGCCTCTTTTAGAAAAAAGTGGGATCACCGACAAGAAATTCATTGTTAACGTAAGCGCCATGGAGGGCAAATTTTACCGCTACAAGACACCAAACCATCCGCACACAAATATGGCTAAAGCTGCTTTAAACATGATGACTCGCACGTGCGCAGAAGATTTAAGCAAGCGGAGCATCTATATGAATAGTGTTGATACTGGCTGGATTAATGACGAGAATCCATTGCCGAAAGCTCATGCTCACGCGCAGGCGCACAATTTCCAAACGCCTATTGATGAAATCGATGCAGCCGCTCGCGTGCTGGACCCAATTTTTGTAGGATGCACTTCAAACAAACCGATCGCTGGTAAATTCCTCAAGGATTTCCACGAGACGGAGTGGTAGACATGCTTCTTAAATGCAATGTTGAAGTCTTGATTTTTCTTTGAGCTCTGATTGGTTAAAAGCTAGGTTGAGTTGCCCACCCAATTTCTTTTAGTATCTAACTTGCCGCTTAAGGACAAATGAAGGCAGACATGCGTGTGGATAACAAGAAGTACGGGCTCGCTGAAGAAAGTAAGGTCTGGTGCGCCACGCACCCAGTGTTGCGTCATAAGCTGACCAAGCTGCGCGACGAGCGCACTGACTGTCGCGCCTTCCGCTATCTGCTGCGAGAAGTGACTTTCTACCTTGGGTGAGGATTGCATCACTCTGAGGAAGACATGTTTATGGTATAACGATTGATGACGCAGGTATGATGCGACTGACGACTTGGAGACGATTCCAAAACAGATAAAAACTCCGAAAGGCGATCACCAGGGCGCTGAATTGTCAACAAATGTGGCACTTGTGCCAATTCTTCGCGCAGGATTGGGAATGGTATGATTATATTCTCAGTAGTGGAATCGCTAAGCTGATTCCGCAATCGATGATGTAGGTAGATCCAATGCTCGACATTCTGCCGAACGCTTCAGTGCACCACATTGGTAAAGTCGAACTTATTTTGTAATGATTACTAGTGCTGATAAGACTAACACCTCATACTGTTTCACAGGAATGTATCGAAACAAACAATCATTGCTGCCAGTTCAATATTATAATAAGCTCCCGAAGGAGTGTGACGTAGACGTTGCAATAATCCTCGAACCTGTCATCGCCACCGGTGAGTAGCCGACGTATTTATGAAGCACGGCTTCTAATTTGCGGACGTTGTCATCTTAGCTGGCACGATTGTTGCGACACTGGCCGTTCTTAAGACTTGGGGCGTCAAGAAAATTAAAGTTGTGAGTGCGATTGCTTCTAAGCAGGGTCTGCAAGAGGTTTGCGCTAAGAATCCGGGAGTGGAGATTTTTCTGGCTGCAATTGACGATGAGCTTAGTGAGGTATGAAATTTTCTGTAAGTATTTATTTGGCTGCAATTGTTGACCGCTAGCTGTGCTGTTCGCCAGGATGGCTATATCTTGCCCGGTCTTGGCGATGCTGGCGATCGTGAATTCCACACAAGCGCACAGGTTGGTAGCGCCCTTAAAAAGCAGAAAATGTAGTGAACAAAATCGAAAAATATTGAGTACACGTAAATGATGTGACTCACATCATTTCTAAAATTTTAGAATGGACAAACATATTTCCTAAAACCATGACAAAGGACGCGATGCCGCCGATATTGAAGTCAAACGCGAAAGACCCACTCGACAGCTCCTGGCGAAAGCACATGGTTCTCGAGTAATCTTCGTCTTGTATATTACGTAAATATTTTAATCATTTAGTTATACAGGGCGATGGACAATGGGTGCCTGACATTTCAGTAGACACATGTATGCTCTGCCGCACTGAATTTGGCTTTTGGATCCGTCGCCACCACTGCCGTCGATGTGGGGCCGTCGTTTGTGATAGCTGCTCTGGTAGTCGCACTAAATTTATATATAAGGCGAGTTCTTTTACGCTGGACTTGAAGGTGCCAAAATGAGAACACTTATTGATCGGCGTGTTCTGCGTACTAGCAGGAGATCACCCCGAACAGTCTAGCTGACGTGGACTGCCGCGTGTGCGATGCGTGTATCCGTGTCATCGACAAAAAATTAGCGCTGGGTGTCAATCGTCGCTTTGGTATGAGCACAGCGGCGGTCGCACTTGCGACCAGAGAGAGCAACAATCAACAGGAACATTTACCAACGACTCCGCTTGAGCCGGACAAAGGAGGCAATCGAACGGTCTTGACTATGGGCAGATATAGGTATATGCTGGCTGTTTATATAAATTCGTGTTAAATTCTGCTGACGGGTTTGTTTGCTGGATAGAGCGGAAATTAAGGAATCGGAAGGAAATCGCTACATCCGCGATGTAGACCTGTAGCGACAACGGAGATCTAGCTACATTAGAGAGTATGAAATTTTGCTACAATGTACGAAATGATCTGTGACGTCGCGTTTAAGTGTGCTCTATTCTGATAAATCGACACAATACGAAGCTTAATGACGTCAATCCGAAAAACACGTATGATTTGTATTCGGAATGTTTCTATCCAGTTTAAACAATCAAACGTCATGTGCCATTAAGGCTTGGACTTCTGTTGGGAAAGTAAGAACGTTCTTCTTTTCTGTCGTGCGGTCTGAAGCCGCACGGAGTCCACCAAGTAGATCACCCTCCAATAATACGTGCCGAAGAGTCGGTAATCATCATATAGAAACATTGCTAGATCCATTATGTCTGAGCTTGATGCAGTGGGTGTGAACACATCTGTAGACACACCTGAGCCTGCACCCGAGTATCTATCTGAGCAAGATCTACAGCTTTCCGATGCGGTGAGTGAGGCAGAAGAAAGATTGAGTGACTACAAGTCGATTGATGAGAGTGTCAGGTCGCCCCTCGTCATCTCCACTTCAAAAAGCGTTCCCAGCTACAAAATGCAGACACCCACTAAGATCTCGCGAATTCCCACGCCCGGAAGGCGAAAGAGCGCGAATACAACGCCTTCTCCGTCACCCAATGCAACTAACAAACTCGGGATCACTTCAAGAATCACACCGCGCGCTTTGAACAAGAAGGTGGAGCGCGTGGGCATCGCCAGTGACATGACACCACAGGCTGCCGCAGAGAACGAGCACTTGCCAACTCTGGAGACTCGATGTGTGCCTTCTGCATTCACGCGTATTCGCTCTGACGGAGGCAGCGGTCTCAATAGAACGATAAGTAATAGCAGCTTGTGCAGTAACGCAGGCAGTGTGGTGAGTGTGTCTTCATTGACGAGATCGAAAAACAAACCACCTAAAAGCGACGGTAAAAAGACGCTTCATGAGCTGGTTGGAGATACTATGGAGGAGAGACGCAATAGCTTTGGCTCGCAGTCGTCGTCGTCGGTCTCATCGTCTACCTCGTCGACATTGGTCCTCTCTGCGCCAACAGCGAGAATGTCGTCTAGATTGGGTGTTTCATCGAGAAATGGCGCACGCAAAAGCACTAGTTTATTCGCGCCAATTCAATCGATGACGCACAAGATTTGGCCAACTGCTGCTCCAGATCTGACGGTGGTTCCTGAAGATTTTACGCTTAGCGAACAGGCTGTGATGGCACTGAAGGAGGATCACGAGGTGACTGAAAAGGGTGTGCAGGAATTGTTGTCGTATGTATCTTCGTCGTCGTCCAGTATGGCACTAACAACAGCTAATTTGAAGGCACGAAAAGAGGAAACAATGTTACTAAAGGCGGGATTGCGTCGATTAACTACACACAGTCAAGGTTTAATGCGGTGCTGCGAAACTCTTGAGAGGAGGACCCTTGATGTTAATGAGTACGTGGACGCTTCGAAGGCAGAGATTGAACGGCTTTCGGATTTGCTGCGATTACAGAACACCAAACAAACGGAAGGAATTCAATCAGAGCTTGAATTTGACGATATTAATGGCGACGGATCATTATCCAGACCCTTGTCGGATACAGAAACTGCGTCTACAAGCTCTTCCCAGAATATTTTTCCGAGACATTCCAGTCAAGAAGCTGATCGCCAGCGTCAAGATTTTCAGCTTGCAATGCAGGAGGATTCACCGTTATCAGCCTATGTGCGGAACGTTCTAAAGAAGGCAACTGACAAGATAGAAGATAAGTGGCGGACACGTTTTGCTGAACAGCTTGTCGAACACGAGCAGGCATTAGCGCAAGAACGGGAGCGCTCTTCGGCGTCTGTGCTTTCTAGCTCTCGTTTAGTTACGGAAACGCTACATGGGAAAGACGATGAGCTGAAGGCTATCCAAGAGCTCAACATAAATCTCAATCAGCAAATTCGACAAATGGAGTTGGATTTGGATGCCACACGATCGGAGCGGGATTTCTTTAAGCAGCAGATGGAGGATGACGACGAACGATCGTCTAGTGCGCATAGTTTTTGGGAGAAAACTACTGATCTGGCCAAGCAAAACCGTAATCTGACAGAGGATTTGTCCCAGGCGAACAATACTATCGTTCGCTTGAATGAGACAATAAACATTATGAAGTCAAAGGCGTCTAGTCTTAAAACTGAGAATGGCGATCGCGTGCGAGCATCAAAGTCGATGGTAGCGGAGAGAAACTTGTTGCAGGACAAGCTGACAGCCATGGAGGCAAAGTTTGAAGATGAAAAGAATCGTCGAGAGCAGTTCCAAGTTAATGTAGAACAGCTGACGGTGGAAAATACAGCCTTGTACGCACAGATGGTGGCTCTGCAAACGACGTATGAAGCCAAGATGGAAGAAATGCAGGTGCAACATGAAAAACGAAACATTTCGCTGGCGGGTGAGATAAAACTTCTTCAGGATCAAAATCGTTTGATACGCAAAAGCGAGCCTAAACATCACCTTGAGTCATACGGCAGTAGTGGCACAAGCGTATCAGCGACTGGCTGTAACAATAGTGTGACGCCACAAGCTGATACTGAAAGAAGTTTTCAGCGTATCCAAGAACTCACGAATGATCTTCTTGAAGCTCGGCGAGAGCTTTTAGAAAAAGACAATCTGATTGATGAGCTGCAGTCGAAGATTACGGAAGGGGAATTAATGCGCCGTAAACTGCACAATACGATTCAAGAGCTCCGAGGCAATATTCGTGTTCATGTTCGTTTGCGCCCGTTCCTGCGTTCTGATGGTCCGGAAGCCGTCGCAGAGAACCCTGAGTCGGCCATCATGTGTGATACATTTGCTTCATCAATCACGACAAATGTAGAAACTCCGCACACATTTGCATTTGACAAAATTTACGGTCAATCAGACTCTCAAGAAGTTGTATTCAAGGATGTGTCCCAGTTCATTCAGTCAGCAATGGATGGGTACAATGTTTGCATTTTTGCCTATGGCCAAACTGGATCTGGCAAAACTCACACGATGCAAGGTAGCGGAAAGGCTCAGATGCGCGGCATTATTCCGCGATCGATTGACCACATTATAAATTGCTGTGAAGAATTGACGGCCATGGGGTGGAACTTTTCGCTCATGGTAACTTTTTACGAGATTTACAATGAAACTATCCGTGACTTGCTTTCTATGAACAATGGCTCAGACGTAAAGCACAACATTCGCACGGACAATCGCGGTCGAAATTACGTAGATGGACTTACTGAAGTATATATCGATTTCGATCAAGCTGCAGAGCAAGTAGACGAAATTGTGAACCTGGCGGCATGCAATCGCTCAGTGGACCGAACAGACATGAATGCGCATTCTTCTCGAAGCCATAGCATCTTCGCTTTGAAGATTCGTGGATACAATGAAGCGCAAAACACTGAGGTTGAAGGGACTTTGAGTCTGGTTGATCTCGCTGGTAGTGAGCGTCTCAGTCGCTCACGTGCTACTGGAGAGCGGTTGAAGGAGGCTCAAGCCATAAATAAGAGTCTAAGTGCTTTGGCTGATGTGTTTCAAGCGCTTGCAAAAAAGTCCTCTCATGTGCCGTATCGCAATAGTAAGCTTACGTATGCTTTGCAGCCGGCACTTTCAGGAGAAGGAAAAACATTGATGATGGCAAACCTGTCGCCGACGTACGCGTCACTGGATGAGTCATTGTGTAGCATGCGTTTTGCTCAAAAGGTCAGCCAATGCGAGCTTGGGGCCCCCGTACGTCAGATCAAGTCGACAAGACGCCAGTCCATGGGTCCTGGGGATCTGACTCGTAACGGCATCGCGAGTTCGTCTCCACGTGAGAATCGACGAAGCACATTAACCCCAGGAATGTTAAGAAAACTGGTGTAACTAGCAGTGAAGACAATTGAAGATGTGTTTTAAGGGATAACTAAAGCGAAAAATGGTAATAAAATCGAGTTCTTTTTTATTTGTGTGCGTATTTTACTCCTATCATTCCGTGTGCTCCTTGGCAGCAGGAGGGCTAAACCAGTCAAAATATGAGGCTAAGCGCGTGATATAGACGACAGTGCAAAGAGCGCAGACAAATAGCGTAACAATGTACACTCCAGAACCTTCGGGACCCGAAGGTAACGCCCCTTTACCGTCATACGCGTCACTGGAGTAGCCATATTCGAGCGCGATTGGAAAACCCACGATCCACCACATTAAATGAGTCGTGATTAAATTAAATGTCCAGCCATAATTGTTCGTGATGAAGTGGACGATCGACTTATTTGGCAGCGCGGGCATGCTTGAAGTAGAATCCATGGCGTGAAATCTATCTTCTGTAAGGCTGCAATAGTAAGCTTTATAAAGCAAGTCTACTAATCTGCGCGATGCGACGCCTCATGTGTGTGCTGTCCGTTACAATTTATCGCTTCAAATTACTCAATCTTAAATGAAAAATGAAGTGCTAAAGGCAATAGAATGAAAAACGTTTCAAGTGCAATATTTCTCTCACGCAGCTATTAATCACGCTCGCTGATGGCAGTCAAATGCATCTCAATCTCATCCTCGGTTAGTTTACGGAACCGGTGGCCCTCCAAAATGACGCCCACTTCAATTTCATTAGGACGAAAGTCTGCCGATAGTACCGTCTGGAGACACGTGATCGCTGTGTGAAGCGTCGTCTCGTAATCCATAGATGGATTAGCCTTTATCTTCTTTTCAAGGTAATTCTGGGCCTCCTGCTCTTTAACACCCGCAGACGTGGCCTTGTATCCCCAAAAATGACCGGCCGGGTCGATTTTGAAGAGCTGCGGACCCTTTTCGTCGTCCACACTAATGAGCATCGTGATGACGCCAAACGCACGCATGGACGCATGCTGAGTGTACACTTGTGCCACATCGGCAATACGCTTAGCCAGCACGTGACAAGGGATCTTGTACCCGAACTTGTTCTCAAACTCGTGCGCTTCAAAGCGCAGACGCTGCACCTGCGCTTTCGAGTCGGCTAATGAAACGACAATGGTCGGTCAGCTAATCAAGTGTCGAAAATCTTGTGAAGTACATACTACTGACCGTAGAGACCCGTCATCAAACAGCCGATTTCGGGCGTGATACGGAATACATTGGTGACCGAGTCAGGTTCAATAAGCTTATCCTGTAACAACAACGGATTCAGCGTTTAATAGCTGCACTGCAATACTGAAAATATAAACAAATTTACCTGAACTTTCTTCTGCGTCACGAATACAGCGCTGTCTTTGCCGCGTACAGCCACCGATGTTAGCGTGGATTCTTTGGCGGCACGAAACGCGTACTCTGCAAAGTTATAAGACTTGTGAGCTCTATGCACGGGCGCAGTCAATTACATTGAGCTGTAGGAAGCACACCTATCTGATAAAGACGTCCTTCGGGCGAGAAGATCGTAATGTGACGATCGTAACCGTCTCCAGGCATGGCTATGATTTAGCTACTCGATCCTTTTCTTTCTCTCCCTTAGTCTTGCTGTCCAAATAACAGAGTACGGTTTATATTCGACAAAGTACGGAAGCTTCAACAAAATTTTTTATGATGTCTACTTAGGTCTCATGTAAAATATTTTTTTCGGACAATGAACAAGCTTCGTAAAATGCCAATCTTGTCCATTCCTTTGATTGAGCTTAACATACACATCCGTCATGATAATAGCATAAATATATGGTGAGTACCCTTGGACTTAAAAGACGATCTGAATTACCAAGGTGGAGGAAATACCATAAAATAAGTATCATGATAAGCACTCGGTGCGGATGAGAAAAACAAGACTCCGTAGCAGCTAGTTCCGTGGGACTAGCTTCACGCTATGCATTGCACGGGGGTATTATGATGGATAATATCACGGATATATTTCGTACTCATAATCTTAAACTGTATCGCTCTGGAACGAGAGTAAACTATTTGCGAGGTTTTGAAGAGGATTTGAGCTCAGCACCTGGATGGTGCATGCGAACACATTCTCTGTGCATAAACTCTCGCGGACTCGAAGAGTTTAAGCTTTTATGTGCGAGGTGGGGGACAGCCCCATTGCATCTGATAGCATTTGTCGTCAATTAGACGACCGAGTCTTAATAAGACTGCAGCGGGGCTGCCGTAGCTTAGCGCTTGAGGAAGTGATTGTAGGTCACCGAACTTTCGTTCTATACTTAGAACAAGTAAGAGTTAGCGGATCGCAATCCGCTTACTCCAAGAGTGATTTTTGCCTTCCAAAGGCTAATTGACTCTTCGGTTTAAAATCCAGAACTGATTTATATTTATTTTTTTATCCTGCTTTAAAAAGTTAAGATTTCCTAAATATACTA